CAGAGCACAATGCACAATTTCAGCCTCAGCCAAAAATAATAAGACATGCTCTTCATCTCATCCTAAAATTAAACTTCGAAACTTGTGCATTCATCATGTAATTAATTCTTACAGCAAAAATGGCATAGTTTTCAGTCGATACATTTGATCCCCTGATTAAGACAATGTAAGACATCTCGATTCCAAACCTAATTAAAATTGATGAAACTAAATTCATAATTTTTGTTATGGACGTGGTTCTTGCTGGCCTATAACTATTTGTTTGAACTGGACCGCACTACCCTATTTCTTGATAAGCACATATATCGGGAGCGCTAATTTTATGACTCACAACGCTGCTCACATGATTTGTGATGGCAGATGTCAGAGGAATGTTGATAGTTGAATGGTATAAAACATTAGTATCCGAATCTGGAGTTGTCTGCTCTCAACGTTTGCCCCATATAATTCTCGCCACTATTTTGTTTTGTCCTGGAGAAAGAATGAAAAATGTATCGTGTAGCTTTCCACAGAAGAAAATCCTGCTTTATGTCGTGCTCAATACAGCAGCCAAAACCCACCAGGAACATATCCCTAGTACATACACACATGGTACATGGCTAAGTTTGCTTAAGGTAGGTATTCGGAAACATGCTAACCAAGGGAGAAAGCATATACGTGGCTACAAACTTGCTTCAAAAACCTAGCGAAATGGGTGAAAGCACGAGTCGTCGTCCTATATACGTACGTAGTCGTCGAGTATTACTTGTGCGGTGTATACAGATACCGCATGTTGCATGTCGTGCCATAAACCCGTCAGAAAGAATGGGCTGATGGATAGATTGTGTCTGAGATGAATGGCTTAACTGCAGAAAATGTAGTGTCGGATTTGGTTCAGCATGAGTGCCTGGCTTCTTGTTCTCTCCAACATGCTCGCTCGCAAAATTGTAAAATTCTAAACGCTGTAGAGTCCATTCCATTTTGAATGATGAAAAGAGCCAAAATGTTTGCATTCACACGTGCAAAACATATTTTATCGTACTTTATAAACCGTACACATTAACACTTTTTTGTGAATCGAAGTCGAGAAAACCAAAACTTGCTAGATTCACTCGGGAATTGTGGTAGATGGTTCGAATTTGAGTACTTGTTGATGATTAATTTATAACACGGAGCAGGGTCTAAAAGGTTCTGTTTTAACTTATCTCAGACGAAATGTCCAAATGGTGAATCATGCAACTCAAGTAAAGTAAGTATGTGCACCAGCCGTGCAATTATTGTGGCAATTTCACTCCCTTGCCCTACTTCAGAGAACCCACAACATAAATAATCCTTTTTTCAATTCAGCATTTATAATTGCATATTTCTTTGAAAAAATTGGAGTGCAGTCGGCAAACTGAACTGCATACGTACATCTGCGTAAATGATCTTGAAATGAAATGGAAGCATAATTGTTCCATCATTTTTCCTGCTTTTAGTGCACTGCAACATGACCAAATGCATTACACTTGTCTAAAACAAAGAAATGGAGGTAAAAACTCTTAAGATGTAGATATCCACAATTCATGAATGTGTAGGTAACTTTAATCCCTTTTTGCTTGAGCAGTAAAGCTATATTTTCAACTATGTGCAATAATTTTATGCTATTTGTGCTGGTGCTTATCACGAGACTTTCCTTGGTTTCATCATAATGAACCATCCATCAGGTCGTTTGAAATATGCAGCTACATATTTTCTAAATTTGGTTTACATCATGGCTCCTGTACGAATTTATTCCATGGTTGGAGAGATGAGGTTGAGAAGAACCACCAGCGAGAATCCCATGCATTTGACCCAAGGACGACGAAGAAAAGGAGCATTACTGAAATATTCATTTGATCTTTGTTGTGCGGTGGAAGGTAGGAAATAGAGATCTCCACATTGAATGAATTGTGCTGCGGTTTTACGCAAAAGTTGAAGATGGGTTTATGTAGTTGTTTGAGTCCCAAGACGAGATAGTTGAACCACTCGAGAATTCTCCCTATCGCATCTGCATGAATTGACGAAGCCATAAGACGTAAGAGATTTTCTCTGTGGCCGAATCTGCGTCCAAAAATGATTACCTATTTATATAAGGATCAGGAATTGTTGTTGGATTGAGACCATTGTGTATAATTCTTCAGATACTCCATGTTCGTCCTTTTTCCACAATCTGGGGTGATTTCCATGGTTTTTGCTATTTGAATTGTTGCGAATTGAGGATGAAGTACGCAAATATTTGTACTAAATATGTCTGCATGTATAGAAATCATCCAGATGGTGGTACGTACTTGTGATCTTTCACAAGTACAAAGCAAATCGATCCTTTGAAATAACATCTTTCAAGCTCTTGTTATTTTTAAGCTTGGTTAAATAATAATAATAATAAATAGAAATTGGTTGTCGGCCAAAATGGGGTCTCTCATTTTGATTTCCGCCCTTATTGGAAACGGGAATTTATTTCAGACTCGGGAAATAACTAGAAAAGAAGAGTCGGATATAACTGCCTGCTAAATCGGGTGAATTGAGATGTTGTTTATACGGCACAACCAGTTTGATCCAAATTTCATTTTTCGAGGATCTTTCATCATTAAACTTTCAATATTTTATGGGTTCCGATTTCTTCTTAAGTATTATAATCCAGATAATCGAAAAATGTATCAATGGAATAAATAAAAATTATTTTAGACGTTTTCATAATTGATTCAATTTACAATATTCCAGTACGCTTCTTACAAAAAATGGAATTATTCAATACGAGTGAGAGTATTTCTGTGTGTCGTATCTAAACATTCATCGAAACAAATATATACGTAGTATGCATAAGTGTGCCTATGTGTTGTATGTATGTATGTACAAAGAGGTTGGTCAACAATTATCGGATGATTCATGCCATAAGCACGTGTAAAATATATAAATGGCATATCATTCTCTTGTTTTCATGATAATTCGCACTTTTCCCTGCGCACTGACATTTACAATACAAATTCGTACATAACTGCATGAATAGCAGATTAAAGAAATGAACCGCAAATAAATGTACGGAATGCTTTGTATGTACGATCCTGGTGGTAGTGCCGTGTGGCCGATGAAATGACGGTAATTAATTCCCACGAGGTTAGGCGTGTCTGCTTCCTGCAGTTTGATCCACAAAATCCGAACTCATCTTTCGTTATGCGCTTCGTTTCTTTGCTGTAACGCCGAATTGATTGGGAGATTAATTTTGCTTATTTTTCTCATATCTTTCGCTTATTTGATCATAGAATATTATTATCGTACAGAGACTTTCTGCATGTATCTTCTTGGTTGTCATCCTCTTAGCAAAAGTAAAAATAAGAACATCTCTACCCAAGTAAGTACATTTATAGAAGTATAAATATTTGTCCTGGTACGAATTTAGGGGCCATGGATAGCCCTCTTCTCGACTGTAACTGTACCACAAAAATCCAATAGTAGTTTTTATCTACTCCTCCGTTAGCGCTGGGTACAACAAGAACTTGGAACAATTGCACAGAGAATGAAGAACATCAATGTCATTACGCATTAAAATTCATCTCGGTCAAAACGAATGTCCCTTGTTTTATTCGGGGCCTGGTTCCATGATGTTTTGTACATCGTCGAGTCAGACGCTTCTTTTGTATATAAAGATAACACACTTTTGCAATTGTGAGAATTGCGTCTCCTCGACACTCACAATAAAAAATTCTCCGTGTAGCAAGCAAGAGTGGACGAAATAAGACAATTCACTTGTCGTCCTCCCAACTGTGAGCATTACAGAGAGACAGCAGAATAATAACAGTCACGGACCAGGAGTATGTACGTACAACTTATTTGCATTAACTTTTTGCTAGCCTAGAATGGCATAGCTATTCGTATTCAGCGAGAAATACGCACGTTGGCTTGTTCAGTAATGTGACAAATCTAAAAGAACTTTATTTTACTCTGAATCTTATTGATATGCTAAATAATAATGAGAAAGAGAAGACCCAGTTGAACACGATTTGAGTTTATGTCAGGGTTTGGTCGGAGCTTTTACAAGCAAAAGAACACACACATGTATGTAGGTTCTCGCATAGTCTTGCATATGTAGAAGAAGCTAGTGAAGTAGGACACAGTACGAGGAATAATAACTGCAATAATCTTTTGAAGTGACGTTTAAAGCAAAGAAGCAAGTGGAGTCTATTACAGGACGAGGAGCAAGAGGAACGATAAATTTTAATAATAATCAAAAATGGCATAAAATGACTTTCTCTGACTGCATTAACAAATTCATGTTACAAATGTTGCGAGTGAGTACGTATCATAATAATATATTTCATGGAAGGATGGTCATAATCTTTTGGGCCGCCTCACCGCCACCACTGCAGTTGGAGCTCCACGTTCATATCGTATGTGGCTGCGGGCGAGGAGGAGAGCGAGCTCCGTCGGTCGAGGTGAAAGCGGAGAGAAAGGAAGGAAAACAGATGGGAATAATATAAACTTCTTCTGATCTTTCTCCTCGCGGATTTTTGCAGATGTGGAACAAAAGACAACCACAAAAGAGGTAGGCCCACAGAGGAGTGAATGCAGCTTAGCCCGGTATCACATAATAATAATAATAACCCACGCCAAAGGCTCCCTTAAACATGTACAACTCTCAAATTCGCTTATTCATTCACCACCCAACCTGGACTTTGAAATTCATTTCTGGAACAACGAGTATCACCGTCCTGCACCAGAGTTCAACCTAACCGACCTTCGCTGTGGTTCTGATTGCACATATACATGTGCGTGTATAATGCAGACGTTGCTTATTAATTGGGCCACCAAATTCTTCGAGTAGGAGTAGTACATATGCGGTAGGAGGTTTTTGGAGATTAAATGAAGAGACTGGGAGAATACAGTCAAGAAATTTTGGATGAATGCAGAACAGGAAAACCTAGAGAATTTTATTTAGCATGTCATAAAAAAGAGTCTCCACCCGAATGGCAGCCATCATGTTTTACCGATAGGCATATGTAGGTATTTATTCAGTTATGCATCGTATTTTTGTGTACATTAATCAAATTTCAAGTCTACCTTATGTCTAATTGGGGACTCCAAACCTTATGCTTTTTTGGCACTTTGGTATAAGAAATAATAATATTTACATTATAAGCAAAGAACGTTCAAATATAAAAATTCATAATAATCCAGAGTTTTATTCTAGCAAAACGTACCTGTTGAGATGGAAGTCAAAAGTAATTTGTGTGATTGGCTGCGTTATTAAATGTATCGGACATGTTTCACACATGCAGTTCCGGTTTTCTGAGTGTGCTACGAAAACGTATTTATATGTGGTCTTGGGCGAATAAACTGTGGGGTATGAATCGTATTGTTGTACAATTTGGCTGATACAATAACTACCCAGTCAGTGTAGACGTTGATATGTTGTGCGAATGCGAAGGTGGCGAGGTATGTATGTAAACGGACAACATTCCAATCGTAGTCTGTTCAAAGAAAATGTGATCAATGAACAGGTGACAGCTTCCGTTCTGTGACGTCTGTCACCCACCCACTATTACCGAAAATGGCTGCTCAACAAAAGCTTACCTCATTGTCATTTGTTTCATAGCGGTAGTTGATTAATGGGTGCCTTGGTTGGAAGACTTACAATGCAGGACGTTAATTCAATACACAATTGTGGAAAACCAACATCAGTATCAAACTGCCCCATCGAAAAGTTGGGTCGTCTTGTCTCCCTTTTGGGTTTGTAGTTCATCCTCAGTTCGGAGCACATCAAACGTAATCGATGAGAAACCCATCGGGCCCAAATTGAAATTCCTATGTGACACCGTTAAATCGAATGCTTTTATGGGACGGAAGTCGCTAAACAGAATTTCCGCTGAAGAGTGAGCCTTTTTTGGATTTGAGACTCTAAATCCAACTCAAAAAGTGGCAAATATTACGATTACTCCTTGCATATATTTAGATACATACATATACTTAGCTATTACTAGGACGTATTGCTGCATCTAGGAAAATGAGTGTGCTAACTGCTAGCCACCAGAGATCTATTAGTTTACTTCGTATGGTGTCATCATTTTATAGTTTTCATTTTGTGGGAGATGAAGATCAGATCGAAATAAAATAGGATCAACTACAAATACTTCTTATCTATAAAACTCGATTTAGTGAACATACCACTGGGGACCCATTCACAAGCGAATTATCGCCCATCTTATGGTGATGATTATGATGGCAGTGATGATGAGATAGCGAATACCTAGAGAATAAATATGATGACAAAAAAGGTCAGAATAAGTTATGAGAGTTTCCACATTTGTCCCTGACAATTGACATTTCTGGTAACTTTTGTTTTTCATGGTGTCGTTACAGCTGTCAACGCTTGTAATCTTTTCATAGACAAATGACAGTGGGTATAACACAGCGACACTTGTTAATCATACACATAAAATACTGCGTGTCGTGGACCTACTACAAATACGATGAGAATGAAATGAAATCAATATCAGTTAAAAAAACAGATCCTGTCTTTTGGCTTAAAGTTGATATATTTGCATACACCTATCTACATACACTTCTACATAAGTGATAGTGACAAAAAATCGCTTTCACTGCTCTGATATACCATCAGACAACAAAATCAATGGCCTTCTCATTTCATTAGCCCCCCTCCAGAAATTCTAATAGACGGATTTATCCGTGGGAATCTGACAGATGGACAAAATAATTTCTCTATATTCTTACCTTATCGCTTGGAATCTAGGAAGCACATGCAGATGTACGAACGAATAAAAACTCTTTTGATTCCTTTGATCGAGATGATCTATAAATGGGATGACGACGAGAATCACAACTGCCCCTCTTGAATATTCGCCTCTTGAGGCTTATTTCCTAAGAGGAGCTTTAAGCATTGGCCAATTTGAAAATGATGAATGCGTATCCTTCTCTCTTGTGCAATATCAGCTTGCTTTCCATTTATTTTGGTCTCTTCTTGTCATTATGTGTCAGCTTGTCGGACGGGCAGTTGTTCCATACATTGTATTTACCAAGTTGATTATATAGCCTTCATCTTTTTACTTAAATTGATAAACCTCAGTCTTTAAATTGAGCCAAAGATGTGAAACATTTCTTTTGTTGAATGGAGAAAGTTGGACATGTATTAATATTTGTATTGATTATTGAACAGAGAAATTGGACTCGGATATTAGACAAGGGTTTTCTGTTGCATTTGCAAAATAAATAAATAGCTGGCCTGCTGACTGTAATTTATGGGAGTGTCAATGTTACTGACATTGATGTACGTCATGTATCAACTTACAGAATTCTTCTAAAACTTCTCCACTCTTTAACACAAGACTAATGGAAACGCAAGTGTGTGTAACAATTTTAGGATTTTCACTCCTTCATGATTTCTTCTGCTGTGGTTTGGTGTGGATGATAATGCATGCTGATCGATAGCAAAGAACAATATGCTGGCGTGTATGTGCTCCCATTTTCCGCATTCTGTGTTTTAATATGCAAATATTTGCCATATTTCTGGTTTAATGTTGTGAGGGAAAGAAATAAAGTATGTATGTACACCAGCACAGAAAGCAAATACACATTCTGAAAGCGTACTCCTGCATAATAAGCGCTGTATAAGAGGCGATACATACACGAGACATGTGTATACGTTGTCTCTCTCTCTCTCTCTCTGTCTGAGTAAATTACAATAAGTGATGTAATTTTTTATTTTCTCTGCATTTCAGACATTTTGCTTGATAACCAAAAAGTACAAGAAAAACTACATTTACCGGTTTTCTTGTTCCAAATCACTCTTCCTAATCGGCCCTCTAAACCCGTTGAGAAGACTGGCAATCTGCATTGTGACTCATCAATGGTTTGACATTCTCATAATACTCACAATTTTGGCCAACTGCGTCACCCTCGCCATGGGACAAAACAAATTTCAAAAGGATGGAAAAACGTACGAGCCAGTCAAGATGAATTATGAAGCAGAGTTAAATTATATCGAGTAAGTACTACTTATTTTTTCCTTATTAAAAGTATCTGAAAGACAATCAAAATCCGTTTCAGGAACTTATTAATTTGTGTTTTGTGTAACAGGTATGGTTTTCTGGGAGTCTATACGCTGGAGATGATGCTTAAAATTTTTGCCAAAGGATTTGTATTAAATAAATTTTCATATTTGCGGAACAAATGGAACATGTTAGACTTTGTAGTCTGGATTTCGTGTGTCTCGTCCTATCGGGTAATGTGAATTTATCAATCTAATTAAAAATTTGAAAATATTCGTGAGAACGAAACCATCAATATTATTGAATAAATTAATTTGGTGGAGTTTGGCTGAAGTGGCATCGCACGCCATCTTCCAGGGTTGGGTTGCACTTGTGCAACCCAATTTGAGATTTGTGTGGGAGGGAGCGAAACTTTCAAGTTCCCTTCAAACACACTGCTCATCACATCACGTCAGTTGTTCGACTTCGATCAAAAGTTGAGTAACAAATTAATTTAATGATAACTCACTGATTATTTATTAATTTCAAACTAAAATATACGATCGACTCTCGATATTCCCAAGTATGACGTCATCAGAAACGTAGGTGTTCAATTTTTTTTACTAATATTTATAAATAAATTGTATATTTGTTTTTGTTGGTTTGTTTGTCACCTTCATTTCTGTGTTAACGATAATCAGCTATATAATTTTATTACAAGCTTATTGTTATTATTATCATTAGGAAGAAGAAAAAGCAGGCAGCTGACAAACAGAACGTAAGTCAATTCTATATATTTAATAATTAGAATAATAATAATTCCTTTGTGTTTTTTATAACAATTTCATCTTTTTTTAGCCGGACTATGATGGATACAACTCCGAAGATGAGTATGGAAATTTGGATAATGTCGGCTTTCAGAATTTCGTAAGTAATTTAATCTCAAATTTGAAATCTGAACCTGATTTTATGTACCATGTGTCTTTCCGACCATTTGTCGGCCAAATAATAAATTAATTATATTTAGGTCTTTTAATTCAAATTTATGTTCATTTTAGAGAGAACGTCGCTTTATTAAGCTAATGTATCAGGAGGGCTTCCTGATCAAGGAAATGGGTGCGGATGGCGCGTGTCTCTTCCGTGCAGTTGCAGATCAAGTTTACGGAGATCAAGAATTGCATAGCATTGTCCGGGAGGATTGCATGGATTACGTTGTGAGTTATCCACAAATTGTTATTCACAAATCGAAGTATGCATAATATATTTGCAATTTTCAGGCTACTCATCGTGATTACTTCTCGTCTTTCATAACGGAGGATTATGAAACTTATGTCTGTCGAAAGCGCCTTGCTTGGGAGTATGGAAACCATGTGGAAGTTCAGGCCATCAGCGCACTTTACTGCAGAAATATTTGCATCTACTCTTACTTGCCCGTCCCGATCGTTGTCACTCCACTGACGGAGGCCTCTGGAGAACCGATAAGCATATCTTATCATAAGAATATCCATTACAATAGCCTGGTCAAGATTGAGGATGGCATGGACATCTTTAACTCGTACACCACCGGCCACAAGAAATATCTCAAGAACAACACTCACAACATGGGGATGAGGCCTAAGAGATTTAAGGTAAATTACATTTTGTCTTCAAGTTACAAATTAATCTGTATTATATTTTTGAAGTCATATAATTATCTTATTAGTTCACGGATACATCTAAAGAGAAGGACGATCCTCACGAATCCCACGACATCGACATTGACGTCCCCTCCATGAAAAGCAAGAATGAAGATCTATTCAACAAGTTGGAAAGTTTACTTGAAGCAACTCACTGGAACGCGGTTCAGACTTATCGAACGTAAATATTAATTGCTTACAAGCTTTGTATGTGATTTTAATGCGTCTATTTTGTCTAGGTACGAGATGAAGAAAGTGGGCGTAGAGGAGTATACGTGGGGGAAGGTGAATAGTGGTCCTTCATTTACTCAGCCGTGTACGACGTGGTCAAAGTGCAAGGATGTAAGTGTGTGTTTTATGAAGTACTAAAAATTGATGAGTAATTATCACATAAATACTGATTTAGGGCTCAGGCTATTATGAGAAGTCCTGCCTGCCTGGTAAATGGGAATTTCGTGGATCGTGGGTCTACACATGCTCGGGATCAAACCCTCACGCAGCCGAACAATCCGCTAAGTTTGCTGCAGCATACCGCATCAAATTATGTGAAATTGGAAGCCAGATGTACCCGGACAGCTATCCAAAATGTGCAAATCAACAAGAACGACACAAAGCGTTAAGCCATTTGTCGCGTCTGGACCTCATGAAGCGTTTGTTTTTGGATGTAGAAGCTCGGAGAAATCCAATAACAATGTTCATTGAAAGAAGTCCTCTAGTTGCAAAAAATGGTATGCATTTATTGAAAATATGGTCATCATGAAATAAGATTATTTTCTGATTTTCAGCTGTAACCTGCCAATGGTACTCAACAGGAAGAGTTTACGGATCGTATGGAAAAGACGCACTCGAGGAAGCCTTGAAGACGTACGAAGAAACAAAGGAGGATCAGTCTTTGGCAGAACTTGCAAGAAAGACCAAAATTTCATTTTGTACTCTAAGGGATAACATCGCAAGACGTCAAATTGCTTTTGTTCCTCATACGTCAGGACGAAAAGCACAAAGCGGAACCCCCGAAGACTACAAAAAAGCGATTCGACTTTATGTAGAAGAAAAGAAAAGCTTTCAAGAAGCTGCTAGAATTGCGAGCGTTAACCCATCTACTCTTACTGATAAGGTCAGGAGCTTGGGATTAAGTCGATCATTATCGGAGGCAGCGTTGTGCAAAATTAAGAAAAAGAAATAGTATGTAAACACAAATATGCTAATTTGACCATGAAATTAATTATTAACCTCAATTTAAAAATGCATGAAATTCATTTATGTTGCAGGTGGTGTCCTAAGGGATTCGTCTGTCTGGGCATGCCAACGATGGCTGGTCTAGCTTCGACAAGTTTTTTGCCTCCATGTTAACTACGTTTCAACTCATTATTCTTGATTACTTGGAATGACTCTTAGTTGTTACTTTTTATTGTAAATGAATCAAATGCAAATTATTGTTTACATACATGAATTATTTCAATTTTTTATTTGTTATTACAAATACATTCTCGATATTATCTCTTTCTGTGGTTGATTTTTTTAAAGTAATAAGTACTTCATACCTCTGGGAACATAAAAAATGATATAAAAATATTGCATAACATTTTTACATCGATATTTTAGCAATTCTTTGGTATGGGGTAATGTAAGATACCAAATTGTTGAGCTAATTACATATAAAATCATAAATTGTTAGCATACAATATGAGTAGTTAGCTCCAAATATATTTCCCTCCTGACGGACAACTTTGAAACGCAGGGATCGGCAAGTGCATCGAGTACTGGAAATGACCTGGAAGCACTTCGTACACTGCGAGTTCTCAGAGCAGTGAAAACCATCTCAATTTTACCCGGTATGAGACTTGTGTAGTTTATCGCAATGCATTGCTATGATTTGCAAGTGGAAACTAATGTGCGACATTGTTACAGGCCTACGAATGATGATCAACGCCCTTCTTAGCTCTGTCGTTCAACTCTTAGAGGTCATGGCCCTTACGCTCTTCTGCTTAATGATCTTTGCACTGTTTGCTCTAGAAGTTTACATGGGAAAATTACGTCACAAGTGTGTCAAAGAAATTCCAGCTGCGGACATTCCGTCGAATGAGATTGAACGCGATTATCACTGGAAGCAGTAAGTTTTTCATATTTGTTGACGCAAAACTAACCAACTTCATTTATCTAACAAATATTTGCAAGTTTTTTTCTTCAAATTAATACGTACTTACGGTCGGGTAAATCAGGAAAGCTGTAGTTATTTGGCTCATACTACGACCCATTTATCCATAATATTTTGGTCACGAAACAAAATTATGTCCCTTTCGAACTATTCCCATATTTGTATAATGAGTATTTACTTGATAACAAGTACGTGCGTCGGTCGAAACAATTTGTTTAATTGCGTTCGTGTTGAAGTTTGGAGTACACAAAAATAAACTTGCTTTTCATATTTAAAATTCTGTTAGTTATTTAAAAGTCTCTCTTTTCATTTACCTGGAGTAACAGTTTTGTGTAAGGCGAACGTATGCAAACTCGGGACGGAGTCGAGATCAATAAGTCAATTTGTGTTTCGCAGTTGTATTCTGCCTTACTTATTCTGGTGGAAGACAGGTTGTTGGGCGATGTATGTGTGTAATCTGCCCAAGAGCTTACAATGTTCCAACAATGCTCCCCCCCTAATTTGCCTCGCGTTCACTTTACATCTCCGCCTGTTGAACTTTCACTCATTTCATGGGCTCCTCTATCTACGAGTGAGCGAGAGAGAAAGCGAGCGAGTGGCGTGCAAACGATCCCTGTAAATTAAACCAAGTTTACTTTTGACTTTCTGACTGACTGAGCCAAACCAAGTTGATTGCTTGTAAAATGTAGCAATCTGCAGATGGAGTTATTAAATTTTGTATTGACGCTCTCTCCACTTATTTCAATCATTTCAGATGGGTGGATAATCCTGAAAACTGGCTGACACGAGACTTTCCAAAGGAAAATGAGTTTGTGATGTGCTCTAATGACAGTGGAACTCGGTAAGTGCAAATATGTTATGTGTGACTTATGGTAATTATGATTTTTAGAATGACGATAATTTGGATGGAATAGAATTGCTTCATTTTAGTCGTAAGAAACGCGGTACAAGTGACAATTTTATAAAAATGCACCCCATCCAGGCAAGACTAGTCGCAATGTGGAATAATTCTTCCATGATTTCACTGTCCTTTGATCGAATTAGTTTGTACTTTCACCTCTAGAAGCCTTAGTAAATAGTTATGAGCCTTATTCTCCGATGAAACATTTAAATTCGATGGGTAATTTATGTATGAATGATGACCATTTTTTGTCAAAGTATTTGACCTCTTGTAAACCTGTGATTTAATAGCGCTACAATTTAATGCAGAAATGAAATAATTCTTAGAATTGTTGGTTACCAATTAATTTTCCATGCTGAACTTAGTGACACAAATTAAATGAATGTGTCCATCAAGTACACATTCATTATGCTGATTTAAATTCTGAGCAACTTTTGGTAGAGACGGACTTAACTAATCCTAAGTAATGCTCGCCACCTATGTTTTTGATAATATAATTCATTTATGTTGCAGGTGGTGTCCCACGGGATTTGTCTGCCTGGGAATGAGAGGAGAAAATCCAGACGATGGTAAACCCTTTTACAAATTATGTGAGGATGATGAGATGCAAAAAAAAATTTGTATTTTCTAGGCTGGTCTAGCTTCGACAATTTTTTTGCATCCATGTTAACTACGTTTCAACTCATTACTCTTGATTACTGGGAGCGAATCTACGACTTGGTAAGTTTGTTAAGTCTTGGAGCTCGTAATTAATTCCACGTTCGCAATCGCAACCCATCTTCCCGAAATCAGTACATGGCAATGAGAAAGACCGAGACTCGTAAATCACAGCGAAAGTTGCACGAAGATGCAAAAGAGTCGAAATGGTGGTGAACATTTAGCTGCATATCAGCAATCACGTCGTCTATGCTATGAACATTCATATACGAAACGAGGTAGGAATACTACGTGTATTGCAGGAACTTATATTGCTTGGCTTCAAAAACGAATTAAGGGGAACCAGTTACGGGACTCACGGTCTGATTTATCATTAGTACTTACGGAAAGTAATTAAGCAATCCGAGTTTCAATATTTGATCTCAATCTCGAATTTCTTGACTTCCAATACACGCTATTTCAACAAGGAAACCCTCGACTTGACCCCAATTTAATATGCACCTCGAATACATAGAGAAGTCTGTAATATATATTACATCGCTTTTCTGGAGTATGTAAGCTACAAACAAGCGATGCCCATAATTTCAGTTAAATATCATACAAATAGGCTTAACGACGGGTTTCCTACTTTCCGGTAGTTTTTGACATTGAATGCTGACCAGAAAAAATATGTACACTTTCTTTGTAGTTGATTTGAGAAAGATTTTTACAAAATAATAATTCTAGCTACAAAAGAAACACTTCCTTTTATCCGGAACAAAAGTGTGAAAAATGTTCAAGATCTAGTCAGTAAAGCTCTCTTATTATTATTGAACTTGTTTCTTCCGTAGTAAAGCTGCTTTTCTCCTACATTGTAAAAATGAATGAAATACTGAATTGTTCCTCGACTTTGTATGAACTTTTACTTCAGTTGAGCTTTCATTATTCTCATCACTCTGGAGAATTGGTGTTCTTGAACTGGGTAGGAGATTGGTTCTTTTAGAACGCGTAGTATGTGGCAAACGTCGACTCTTTTGAGTCTACTCTAACCTATGTAACTTTATGAGAATTCAAATAAATCATCCCTTGGTCATCAATTTAGATTTCTTGCCAAGTTTTAATGTACATACTCGTAATTTTCAATAGCATGTTCTGGAGTTTTATTAGAATTTAAAGTAAGAATCTAACAAGTCTTTCATATATATTTTTTAAATAGGTGCTGTCAACATCGGGTCCATGGAGTATACTATTCTTCACCATGGTGGTATTTCTTGGATCATACTACCTTCTAAATTTGATGCTTGCTGTCGTAACAATGAGCTACGAGGCTGAGGCAAACGTTAATGATCAGGTAATAAAACACAAAGAGTTTGAATTCTTAATAAAAATCTATTTGTCGAATTTTTGCGATTTGATACGGATCGTGTATTTCGAGTGCATTTAGTCGTCGAGAAATAATAATCAATCGCACTTCCATACTTTCCTTCTTGTAAATAAGTATTTTTTGAGAAAGGACAAGTCTGTGACCATTAGTGGTTTAGGTTTCTTGTGAAATAATTCCTTGGAGACTGGCACCAACCTTGGTTTTGCTAGGGCATGGTGGTGGAGTTGGTTGCGGTATCGAACCATTTTGTCTCGTATGCTTCTGCTTTAAACTGGTATCAATTTTCTGCTCTCACCTTGTTTTCTTGAGTTACCTGCTCTCACCGACGCTCCGACTCCTCGAGAGAAAGTCATCCAAGTCGTCGTGCATGCATTCCATCCTCGACACATCAGCACAGCTTCAGGCTTCTCCGCGTCTCAAATTCCACTCTCCGAGAAGCACAATTCTACTTGATCGCCTTATTTCTAAAACATTAGCTCTTCAGTTTTTAAAGCCAGGTATAAGTGCCGACATTGAAGGGTATGGATGGAGTAGGGGTTGGCTCGTAGATTGTTAGTTTAGGCAGAGATTTACGTCGTGTGAGTGAAAGTAATAGGTTCGATGGGATGGCTTCGGGTCTTTTATTTACATTCGCATTTCATTCACGACATTTTTTATCCACCGTCCTCGGTGTGGTTGGATTGAAAGAGGTGTTCGGATAACCACTTTCCCCTTAAAATGTATATTGGATAAATCTCAGTTGAGTTGAGTGTTTTCCAATTGCATGAAAAATAGATGGCATATAAATACATGGTCGACTCATAGTCGAGTTTTACGATACATCAGATACGTATCACCAAATTTTTTAACGCTCTCTTCAAAATTGGCAAATCGTGCTTATTTGAATCTCTAGTTATTTGAGTCTCAAAATCCCCACAGTATTGCGAATGTATTGTATGTAGCTTATCGCGTACTTGTAATTATTACTTTTACAACTTTGTAAATTTGCGTGCCTTTGCCCTTTCTGTTTGACTCGTGTATTAACGCACATCATTATGCCCATTGGTGTAGTACCCTTATGGTTTCCGTTCATTATCGGTCATATCATTTGCACTCCTAATGTATAAAACCCTACATGTGACTTTGACCATCGCTCGGATCTGCGGTGAGTTGGTGACGGTTAGATGAACTCGTCCAATGGGTAGCCATGCGATTGATTTTTAGATGTATGTTTCTGGCAGGACGATAGAAAAGTGATGGATTACAAGAAAGTAAAAAAAGTCACAATCAATATTTTATGGAGAGAGAAGCCATGCGTCATTAAATTCCTCCTTTCGACAGTGAGAATATGTAACTGCGATGTAAAAAGTCTAATTACATGTTTTAATAACTTTGCAGGGTCAGCTCACAAAACACCAGAAAGTAAGACGTATCAATTAGTGGATATTGCCTTTGTTGGGTTGACGAATGATTTGTTACTAATCGTAGCCTAATTTTTACAGCTTTCTCTGGTGCGTACCCATTCCACGTTCAGCTTTGAAGATTTAACCAAGCTCAACATAAAGGAAATGACTCACTACCGCAAACGGACGGCGTCGGAACGTGAAATGATAGCAAAGAAGCTGAGAAATTCTTCTCTAGGTAAACGTAAGCCCCGTCGCGCAATAAGGCGCAAACAACAAAATGTCAACAAAGGGGCAGAGTTGACTGTGACCGAGGCAGGTGACACTGAGACGATGGGCACTCCAAATGTGAAAAGTGCAACTGGAAGTATTTGTGGTGATTCAGTGTGTGGGGCTGTGAGTGTGATTGGTGGTGGGAGTGGAGGGGACGCTGAAAGTGGTGGTGCAGTGGCCCATTTTGTTCGCGGAAGTGTCAGTTTTGACCACTCCAACAAACAACCATCTCCAATCCCCCGCCCCTCCTCCTCTGGGGACAAACGGCCAAACAAGCCAAAAGACTCGGCTGAGTGTAAAAGGGGTGAAGCGAGCAAGGGGGGGAAGAGAACTTCCTCTTCCTCCCTCATGTGTAGAGTGAAAAAACAGTGCATAAAAACCTCTGGTGGGGGTGCTAGTGTGATAAGTGTGACTAAATCGATGGGTTCGAGTGGGACTAGTGGTGGTGGGAAGCGTGTGAGTGGACGTGTCAAAACTGTCAGTGACAAAGACCGAAATCGTTTCATTTTAGAGACTGACGATGAGCCCACTCCTCAGGGACGATTTGGTGACGCCATTCTCAACTTGTTGGGAAAAAGGAAGACCAGTGAGGACGAACTGGGTAAGGAAACGCGGATGTTGCAAAACCTGCAGAATGAAAGCCCTCAGACGTATGGTATCTTGGGGATGCCATCACATAACCTTCCTGCAGTTTCTACCACCACCACATCCAAGGCCACACCTTCCAGCACAACTCGCATGATTGCTCCGGATGGTAACGCTTGTAATGCTTTTAATCCAAAAGGATCCCCTTGTCCTTAGTTTGCAACACAAAGTTATGAATAATTACACGTATCAGTTTCAATCAGATGAAGTGAGATATCAATTTTAGCTTTCCTTCACAACTAACTTGTACTAACATTTTAACGTGTAAATAAGTTCCTCACATTTATGTGTCAGCACTCCACACGTTGATTGATATAAAATTGTTATGGTATTTTGAAATCGTTGCCTTCTCTGCTCTTTTTCATAGCTTCCGTGGCTATAAGCATCGACGGAGGTCAGGGTGGCGCTGAGAGTGGCGGGGACCCTGACTTGGAAGGCGTACCGGAGGATGGAGAATGGGACACTTTTCAGGAAGTTGAGCCAGGCATGAGCCATTTATTTATTTATATAAATATGTACACATAAATTTCATACAAGCATCAGCGAAGGTTTGCATTAAATGCGTAAAGTTTTAATTATCATCATATTCTGCGATTTTCAGCTGAACCGAAACATTTGTTTATGAGACATTGTCAACGAGTTGCATTTTTTATGAGGACGCGGCTTCAGCCGATGGTCAATCACTGCTTGTTCGAGGTATTCGTTACCAGCTGTATTATCTTCAACACAGTACTCTTGGCGTTAGGTGAGATATGACACCAATAATTAGATTACGATCATCACTATGATGGCGATGTTATGATTCTCATAACTGATTTTAGAAATATCTTTACGAGCTACTAATTTATTGGTTGTTTGTGTTATGGGCATAGAGCGTCACGGACAAGAGGAATCCGAAAGATATATTATGGAAACTGGGAATATGGTCAGTCATTGCAATAAATAAATTCAAATTTTAGCCCCAAAAATGGCCAAAAACCTTGCATTTATTATGTTGTAGGTGTTCATGATTATTTTTACGGTGGAAGCCTTCGTCAAGATGCTTGCTCTCCAAGCTGATTATTTTAGATCAGGATGGAACATATTCGACCTAATTATTGTTACGATAAGCTACGTCGAGATTCTCTTGCAAACTATAACCATTAGCTTCAGTGTAATTCGAGGGATGAGACTGGTAAATTTTCCTACTTTGATAACTTTTACCCATAAATATGTACATATTTAAATGGGACAACACTAAATTTTATAGTTACGAGTGTTCAAGTTAGCTCAAAGCTGGATAACCATGAAAGTGCTGCTAAACATAATTTTCTCCACCTTTGGGGCTCTGGGAAATCTAACGTTGGTGCTTCTCATTGTCATCTACATTTTTTCTGTGATGGGTATGCAAGTCATAGGAAACCGTTATAGTCCAATGGCATTCGATGCTGATGAAGACCCTGCCAATTTTCCAAGGTCCACAGATTATGCTGATAAACAGTTGCTTCATTATTTTTCATATGAAATCGATTTTTTAACACTCATTTTCAATTAATTTCAGGTGGCATTTTCAAAACTTTTGGTATGCTTTCATGATGGTATGTCGTATAATTGATCAAGTAAGTAACTGTATTGTCAAGTAAAAACACACTTGCAATTTTTTATAGGTATTTCGAGTTCTTTGTGGAGAATGGATCGAACCTTTGTGGGACTGCTTGCAAGCCCACAAATTTAGGGCAAAGGACCAACAGGTACAATCAGATAAAGATCTCCGTGCTATCTCCTTTCCATGACACATGATTTAATTGTATTTTAAATTTTGAACGTATTTTTGTTTCATTTTTAGTGGAAGTGTTTTGTAATATTTCTTCCCATCCTAATTGTGGGCAACTTTATTGTCCTCAATCTCTTCTTGGCTTTGCTTCTCAATAGCTTCAATACGGAAGAGCTCAAGGCGCAAAGGGATGTAAGTCGTCATAATTCCGATTTTGCGTGTACCGTAAAAACACCAAGCATGGAATGTGTTTGTGTTTTCATGTCTATTTACTCCAATTTAAAACATTGTGTTCAATTCATGCCATTTTAGAAAGAAATTGAAGCGACGGGAAGGTCGGACAATTTAAAAACAATTGTCGGAATGTTATTAAAAAAAGACCAGAAAAATAAGCAATCCCGTGTCCCAACCGATTCTGGTGATGCAAGAAAAACGATTCCAAAGGTTTCTGTTATCTCAGCCCCAAATAGTCCGACAGCATCTTCGCCCTCAGACTCAAAACCGCCAGACCAATCCATTATTGTAAACCAGGACGCTGGTGATTCTCGTCAAACTTCCACGGAATCAGAGCTTACACCAATTCCTCCTGCGAGAGCTCGCTTTAGACATTGCGCGAGAAAAGTCATTCTCCACAATCGGAAGCAAATTGCACTTCGAGCTATAGATAATGCCAAGGACTATTTAGAAGAACGACATGCCCGTGCTGGATTTCTTTTAAAACCCACGGAAAACAGACGTGGGAGCATGTATGGTCTAAACTCTGAGGTTTGTACTCTACTTGCCTTTAAACATTTTACAAAATTATGAAATTAACTATTACAAGTCGTAGGAGTTTTTCATGGCATATTTTTGTTTAATTATTTTCTCTAGAATACTCCAACCTTAACGGACAGCAATAGAATGGTGGCTCCTGGCGACTGTATCCCCAAAAAATGTTGGAATGCCAGTTGCAGCTGCTGTGAAGCGATACGGGGATGGGATTGGACAACATGGGATAAAATACGACAGTTTTCTGTGACAATTGTTGGCAACCCCACGTTCGAGGTCAGTAAAGATTTTCTTTTCTATTTCAGATATTGATTTTGTAATGTTGATTGTGTTTCTTACTCTTTTCCAGTGGATGATTCTCACCTTGATCTTTGCATCCAGCATTACTCTGGCCTTCGAGGATAAGCATTTGGATAGCAAGCCGGATTTAAAAGCTGCCCTATTTTGGCTCAACCTAATTTTCACAATTATATTTGTCATTGAAATGCTGCTGAAATGGTTGGCGATGGGATTGTGGGGATATTTTACAAACATTTGGACAATTTTAGATGCCTTCATTGTTGTTGTAAGTCCTTTTTGTCGTAATACATATACATGTATTATGAAAATAGCATGTATGCACACAGAGTATGACGATGCAACATTTTGGCTAATTTTCAGATAAGCCTAATTTCCATCTACTATGAAATTGAAGCCCTTCAACAGGCGGCCACAAACGGTGCACAAGCCGGAAAGTCAAATAGCATTGGGGCATTTAAAGCTTTACGAACGTTACGTGCAATGCGTCCACTTCGAGCCATATCGAGATGGCAGGGAATGAAGGTATGTCACCTGTATACCTATTTTGAGCCTTACGTGAAAACATTAAATTATAAATGAGTACATTGCAAATTTGTTAATTACTTGTAGATTGTGGTGAATGCACTCATGTACGCGATCCCCTCTATTTTCAACGTCTTGCTTGTCTGCTTGCTGTTCTGGTTGGTGTTTTCAATCATGGGTGTACAATTCTTCAAGGGAAAATTTTACAAATGTGTTGACACATTTGGTAAAGTGCTTGATGCTGAGGTAAGTTTATTTTGACGAATTTTGGAATGGACAATAATACACAATTCAATACTAATATTATTCGTAGCTTGTTCCGACTCGAGAGGTTTGCTGTGAAAAAAGCTCCATTGCGAATTATTCTTGGATAAATACTACCCCAAATTTTGACAACGTCCTTGAGGGATATCTCGCATTATTTCAAATTGTACGGGTTTTACAAATCTTTACTCATTATCATTAAGCCTTTATTGGAACATTGTTTAAATTTATGTTTGGTCGTGTCTTCACTGCTGTGTGTTTCTGCAGGCCACGTTTGAGGGATGGATGGAGCTGATGAGATCTGCAGTGGACTCCACGGAAGTAGGTCGGCAACCCATGCGGGACAATGGGCTGGTGTACTATATATTTTTTGTAATATTCATCGTATTTGGGTCTTTCTTCACCCTCAACCTCTTCATTGGTGTTATCATTGATAATTTCAACATGCTAAAAAAGAAGGTATTTAAAATATCAATATGTGTATCTAATTTCCTCTTCCTCATAGCTAAATAATTGTCCCAATATCATTTTGTAATGTGTTATTTAAAATTATCTACTCCAGTATGAAGGCAATCTTCTCGAAGTATTATTAACACCGAGTCAGCGTCATTATTACACAGCAATGAAAAAATTGGGAAGAAAAAAGCCTCGCAAAGTTATAAAACGGTATAAATAAACAAACATTTTCAATCGATGCCTTCTCTAATAATCATCATTTTATTATTCCACAGGCCAAGCAATAATTTTATTTCGCCATTCTATGACCTCTCTATGTCACGCCGGTACGTAATTGTTTTGCTCGATAACTAAAAACTGAATTTCATGGATGACAGTAGTATAAAATCAACAAAAGTCACTTGGAATGTCACGAAACACTGTTTAATATATTTTGGGTCTGATGTCATAACGTATACGATAATTCTTTCATTCCCATTTTTATTGCAGGTTTGAAATAGCAATATTCATCATGATCTTCATTAATATGGTAGTAATGGCATTCGAGCATTACGGTCAGCGGCAAATATTTGTGCATCTTCTTGCCGGCTTCAATTCATTCTTTACCACAATATACGCATTGGGTTAGCACTTTATAATTTACTAAATTATATGTACGCAATTTGTTGCTCAGATTTCAGCCTTTGTCTGTTTTTGAATTATAGAAGCCATAGTCAAAATCATAGGACTGAGACACTACTATTTTACCGTGCCATGGAATGTGTTCGACTTCGTTCTCGTTCTTGCGTCCATTGTGGATTTGATGGTTGGAGACCTGACCGTTGGTGAGTTGTCCTGATAAAAAATTTTCGCACAACCCCCACACCAGAAATCTTAGAGGGTTATACATGTTGTTCTTCCAACAGAATTTCCAATCCCACCAACAATGCTTAGGATTGTTCGCGTCTTCCGTATTGGTCGAGTACTTCGACTCGTTAAAGTAAATGACTTATAAGCACTAAATCTTTTTTGGATGTGTTTTGCACAGGTTATTGTGGTGTGAAATTTTGTCATTTGTTCTAAATATCTGAATAATCTACTTTAGGCTGCCAAAGGTATTCGGAAACTGCTATTTGCTCTAGTGGTATCACTACCGGCTCTCTTTAATATTGGGGCACTTTTGGGATTGATTACATTTATTTATGCAATATTGGGAATGGTAAGTTTACAAAAAGCAGTTCAAAAGTCAGAAATCAGTTTTTATGTACATTTCTTAATTCCTTATTAGGCTTTGTTCAAAGATGCTCCAAAGTACAATTCAATTGATGACGTATTTAACTTTGAAACCTTTGTAAATAGTGGTTTAATGCTGTTCAGGTATTCCTTCTGTTGATACATTTATGCATTTTGATATCATCAAGTGGGTTACTTGAAGTGCAATCTGTGATTTTAGACTCATGACTGCGGCTGGTTGGAATGATGTACTGGACGCCTTGACCAATGAAGAACCAACATGCGGAAGTTATAGAAAAATTATTTGCGGACGAGATGACGAGCCAGAGTGCCCAAATCGTGGATACGGTAATTTTAGTACTAATTGATGAGTATTATTTTAATTAGCTTAAGACTATATTAGCTGAAAAGTCAAAAGTATCGACATCATAGATTTTCTTGTTCGAAAGTATTCCGTTCAAATTAACATATGGAAAATCATGGAATACGTTTACAACGATTAATTAATGCTTACATATTGGTTCATAAATATCTACTGTACAAATAATATGTTTATTACAGCCGTTGCCTACATTGTCACTTACATCATCATCAGCTTCCTTATTGTGATTAACATGTACATTGCAATAATTTTGGAAAATTTTGTGGAGGCCAATCGAGAGGAAGAAGTTGGAATTGTGGAGGACGATCTGGAAATGTTCTACGTTCGTTGGTCACGGTATACTCACATCTAGTCTACATACATATTTTGTCTACAAATATATGTCCAAATGCAAAATATTTTTAAAACCTATTTCTTATTTATTAACAGTTATGATCCGCAAGCCACTCAGTTTATTAACTTTGATCAAGGTAATAACTAAAACATTGCATTCCAATTATCTATCTTACAGGGTATTATACTATAAACATCTCGCAAAAACAAAGAATTTACAATTTGTTCAAATTTTTCAAAACAAAAGCTTTAACTTTCTTTCCCATGCTTTTCTTTCTAGTATCAGATTTTTTGTCCAGCCTGGATCCACCTTTAACTTTGCCAAAGCCTAATCTTGTGGCCATTGTTGCATTTAGTAAGTGAAAGAACGAAGAAAACTATGAATATCGATTTCTCTTTTCTAATTACATATTGAAATCATTAAAGAGCTCGGGCATGGTAATAACCGTTACTTTGTTAAATATGATAGATCTTCCCATCGCTCGAGGAAACAAGATTCATTGCTTGGATATACTCCACTCATTAGTAAAACACGTTTTGGGTCAAATTGATGATTCCGAGGAATTTAGAAAGGTAAATATAAACAGGCAGAATTAAAATGCATACAATAAATATATTTAATAAATTTAAGTAATTGACTAAAGAATTTTCTTTTCTTTTTTTCCTTCAGCTTCAAGATCAAATGGAACGAAAGTTTCAAAAACAGTTCCCCACACGCAAACTTTTGGACGTTGTTTCGTCCACGAGGACTTGGAAGATTCAGCACAACTCGGCCATAATAATTCAGCGAACATGGCGCAAGTACATACTTCGCAAACACCCTCCTCCTGAGAAGCAAAAGTCTACTCAAACAGTCAAAGTCGGAATTACTTCGAGTCATCAAGGTGGAGTTGGTAATATGTTAAATAAAATGGGCAACTTATTACATATCGGGGGTAGATTATAAAAAAGTTAATTTATCCCATTTATTTTGTTGTAAATTCTCAGCAGGTACAAACTAAATAAGTTGAAACGGTTCAAAAATATAACTAACTATAGAGGTTATTAAAATTATTACTAGTCAAGCTTATCCGACTACGTCCAGGGATAACATTCATAATTATTAATTATTGCCACGTTGCCGTACAATGTCCTCAAATTGAAGTAGGAGCTCGTCTCTTGAATGGTCTTTTGTGATGAAATAATTCGGTGGAGGGTCTCCAAATTCTTCCACCATTTTAGCAAAAGTTTTGAAAGTCTTGTAGTGCCTTTTGTCATCCGGAAATTGTGGGTCATATCGCATTATGAGATCCTTTTTACAGAAAGTGTACGGCAGGGTGGTGACTTGGTCAACAGTAGCCCAAAGCGGTGGGTTGCACCGGTCCAGATCTTCCACGAATTCGAACATCGGGACCTTGTCGTTGACGTATTTGTGAGCTTTCTTGATGATGTCTGCTGGTGGGGTTGAAGCTTCCGTGATAGGGTAACGCTCACATTCATGGACTCTGTTGTATTCTTGGCCAAATGACTGGAATTAAAGAATTAATGTTTATTTAGACCGGTCTAATAGGATTCGTAGTGAAATCTTTAATCTATAATCATTACCATGAGAAATCCTTCCCCAATTTCTTTTGTGTATGTGGAGTCACATAAAACAACCCGCTTTTCGACACAACATCTTGGTTTGTCGCTACCATATGTTCTGTTGTAAATGACCTGGTTGCCTGTTCTTAAATAAAAATTGTCTGGTCTCATTGTGAACTGACCATTATGTCCGGAGTATTTTCCGATATAATCTTGTAATCCGTCCCCACTTTGAACCGGTTCAATCAGCTTCATTGTTTCAACCAGGTTTTCATTCATGATTTCAGGTTTAATCAACGATGCAATGTAGATTATATCCATGGGGGGTGTGGCTTCCTTGGATGCCTTCTTACTGTCTTGTATGACTTGATAAAGGGGGTGCTCAGGATCTCTGTATTGAGCGTTCTTATTTGCTTTTGATACTGAACCGGTAGATCTCATTTGAGCGGCATAATACAGGGTGTTAATAAAGTCCGATCCCATTTTTCCTGTAAAAAAGTGAAGGCTAGTATAAAAAAAACTACCCGTGATACTTACAAAAAATGTTCGACATATTTACCTTAGTATTTGGTCTTGTTACCATTTACTTTAACCATGCCCTCAACTCTTTGTTTAAGGCTCTGTGCTAATTTTTCCAATGTGCCTCTGGAAATCGAATTCCATACATCTTGAACTTTTTTTTACTAGCTCTTCCCTCGTCCGGGGTTGTGGCTCTTTGTATACATTTTCCTTAAGTATGGACCACTGGTTCTTCAGGGGATTCAAATCTGGGCCGTTAGCGGCCCACACCCCCTTGCTCCAGACCGTTGAAACTTGCGTCTTGATGAGACTCAAACTCGCTTTTGCTGTATGGGCTATAGCACCATCCTGCATGAAAACTATTTTTCTTTTATTCGGAAATATTTCCTTGTTCCCCATGCTATCGAAATAGATAGGTAATATTTTTTCCATATAATGCTTTGCATTGACTGATTTGCCTTTTGGTATGATATGTAGAGGGGTCACGCAACGTGCACAAAATCCACCCGCTACCATAACTTTAAGCCCGAATTTTGGGATCGCTCTTGATGGTACATCCGATTTGTTTTCTGTCCTGTAACGAACATTTTGTTGGTTCAATTTTGGATATAGTTCAATAATAGATTCGTCAGTCCAAAGGATGTGACTGCGCAATTCTTCACCAAGTCTTTTTTCACTCAAATGGGCACTTTTCTGAAGGAGTTCTTCAAATTTCAGACGGTCATCGATATATTTTTGTGACATGAGAGGTTTTTTTGGTTAGTTTGTAAGCTGTGTGACCCCACTTCGTAGTTTTCACAAATTTTTGCACGGTCACACAGTTAATTTGCTTCTTCTTCTCTTTATAGCGTTTTGAGTCATTTAACTCCCTTGCTCAATTACGTAATGAACTACCGGTTTTCTTGCAAAGTCTGTTTTTAATCATTCTTTTTGTGGTAGGTGACACCTTTCTGGGTCGTCCTGGTCGCTTTTTGTCGTGGACAAAATTTTTATTCTTCCATTTCCAAACAGTTCTGCGGCTGCAGCCCAATTTTTGCACAATTTCTGTAGGTTTAAGCCCCTGCTGATGCAATGTTTGTATCTCAACTCTAAGATGCTCATGACTTACACGTTTAGTTGTTCCTCCCATGGTAAAAATTTGAAATAAATAACTTCACTGGTTCAAAAGTTCCAGCTGAATTTGTAACAACCACGCTCCAAAAAATGCATGGGATCGGACTTTATTAACACCCTTTATGACGACAGCCTATTCCGTAAACCATTGCTGTTAATGATGTAATATCCTTTAACTGGTGAACCTTAAATACATAAATATGTTGAACCGATTCAAAAGCATTCAAGGAAAATTGAGTGAATAGAATTATCCATTCTAACCAGGGATGCGTTTATCGAACCGAATTTCCAGATGCTCCTGATCTTTTTGACCCCAGTTGGCTGCAGTCTCGAGGTCCTTCCGCCGTGGATCTAGATCTTTTCGACCAGCTGATGGGTCGTTCTCAACTTCCTTTAACCAATCAATTAGTTGTTCCCGACGTTCTTGTTCTAGGAGGTTGTCGGACAACTAGAATATAGACAAATGTTGGACCGCTCCAATTGAATATTTTTTGTATTATTTACAATGATTCATGGTCGGTCAAGTACTAAGTAGAATAATAACTACATCTACCTTCTTGTAACGCCGTAGATGGAAATTCTCTGGTTGATTCCAATCTGCGGCAATATTAGTAGAGGACCCAGGTTGAGGGTCATCATTAGACCGGTCTAAATTATCAACTTTATTTCCTTCCTCAATGTCCGATTCATCAGAATCAATGGCACACATCTTCCTTTTTCGGCTCTTCACCGTCATCACATCTTGCTCGACATCTTCGTCTGACTCCATATAATCTGAATAGTTTTCTCCTTCGTAATCTGGATCACTATTTAAACAACATTATTAATTAATAGGAACGTTAACTTGACCGGTCAAGCTCGCACAGCTTAATTAATTGGACTGTGAGGTTTAACTTACCAATCATTGGAACCAGAGGATGTACTGTCCGACTCCATGTGGTGGGAATTGTTTTTAAAACGATAATAATTTTTTTTAATACAGACGTATTTTGAATTACAACTTTCAACTGTACCAGTTGAGAATGATCGGAAAGTTCTTCTCCTTTGCCGTTGTTTGAGCGTAACAAGTCTCAACTTGTTTAGCAAACAACATTGAGACGGTTTCAGTCAGTTTTGCGGACTGTCTCATTGTTATCATGCATACTCAAATATCATTAAGTTTATTACCGCTAGTCTCAAATTTTCATTCATTTATTTATTTTACGACTTGGCTAAGTTTAATTCATTTTTCTTTGAACCAAAAATTAATTTTTACAATTCAGATAAACTGTGGAGGAAAATAATCGGGGGTAGTCATGATCAAAAAGAGAGAAAAGGTCGTCGTGAGTCCATCGCCTTGCGAGACCAGCCAAATAGGGGCTCCGTAAGTAACGGCATTTACCTAACATTGCATAACCTCGGCTTCCTCTCTTCTTCCCTTCTGTGTGTCGCATGGACTCCACCAACCAAACCTCACGCGCTTGCACATTGCACTGCACGCCCACACGCTCAAAATATGACCTGAGCTGGGTTAGATCAAATCATTTTCTTTTGAGCAAAGAATGACCAATTCCTGTGATAGTCAGGCACATATTTTCGTCTTATTACAACAGTGTCGTACAATGCGTATAAATATTTTGTGTTTTCCACAGATTCGTAGCAAGAGGAGTCAACACAAAGAACAGCAACGCAACAGTGAAAGTAGTATATCATCATCAAGTCCGTTAACACGTGTAGATACAAGTAGTGGTTTAATTTTTGGGAGGGGTAGTTCGGGGGATGGAGCGACTTCGGGGGGGAATGGCAACAGAGGAAGACGACTGTCCCCATCCCGTTTGAGTGGGGGGAGTTTTGATGTTGCCGTTAATTTTGGTAATCAGTTGTCAGTGATACGAAATGCAAATACAGCCAACAATTGTCCGTCTCCTTTACCCTCGTGTCCTACCACACCGTCCTCTTTAGCAGAAGCGGATGAGTCCGCGAGCAATGTCACAGTTCAAGTGCATCATTTCCAATGATTATTTTCGGCAATCATCTTGCGTGCGCATATGTTAATGACAAAATCATACTATAGCCATTTGTTTAAATCGTTTATGCATTAGGATATGTGTACATAGGTCGTTTACGTAATAACCGTCATTCGAAAATCTCTTAACTAAATGTATAATCTGCGACTTAAAAGACAAAGAATAAGCAAATGTTTCCCATGTAGAAGTGGTTGATCATTCCCCTGTGAAGTTAATAGTTAGCTTTAAAAAGTCACTATTCAATTATGAATTACTTACTAGAAAAATTATGTAGCCAGAGGTTTAATAATATCCATGTGGAGCAGACATGTTGATTACATACATAATTGTTGAGTACAGCTCATCGTCAATTACAGGTGATAAAAAGTACATTGATTGTATGACATTTCAAGAAAACAAAACTTTGAGTAGGGAATCACTCTACGCTTTGAAATGGATCTCGCGATCGTATTTACGTATGTAATGAGTTTCCCCTTATTAATTATCTGAACGATGGAAAAGAATGTTCACTATTAAATATTTACTTAAATACCGCGAAGGAAATGAACGGTCCCCTTGAATATCATTATCATATTCCCTGAGAAGGTTTAAAGCAGGCTACGACATATATTTACTCAGGTCTGGATACAATACAATACAATTATAGTTCTTATGAAATCTTTACCATTCCTAATATTCATATAAGTACATCTTCAGCGACATTTATATAACATTATTACAACTCGATATTATCCGTAACTTTGATAAGTACCTTTAAATCACTCTAACCTTAGCTATACTGATAAACAATAACAATTAATAAAAATACTACTAAATATGTAGACTACAAAGTCAAATAATTCCTCATGTGGCTAACCTATCCATGCCTTGACCTTAGGCCTAACGACTTGAAGGTAAAATTGTGACTCGTGCTCACAGTCTTATATACAATCATCTCCTTCCTCATCCTCTACACTTTATTGAAAAATTACTAAAACTCTAGGAGTTTTGTTAGTTGTAGGTTTCTGAATCTATGTAATTACTAGAATTTAATATGTGTAGAACCCTTTTATACAGTTTGTACTCGTATTTAGATCATTCAATCGTATTGCCCGTTAGTGGATGAAGCCAAAAGTATACTTTTTCTATATCAATATACTTACTTATTACCCAACAAACCATAATACGCACTCGTTATCGTCATTGCTTTTATGGGTAAATTATTGTGATACCTAACATTGAAATTTCAGCACCATTACTTAATGGTCACAATCATTTCGGTTCGTTTTTAAAAGTCACAGGAATCAAACGAAATTATCCTTGAACTTGTAAGAGACACTCTAATTACGCTTTTAAACACATTGTACCTACGTCTACCTTGTATCAAATCTGTATAAACACCTTTCACATTCATTGCTACATTAAATTACTACACATTAGCTCACCACCTTACACACATACAAATTTTACTTCCCAATGTGGGCGAACCCCTTTTAACAATGTCACAACTTAACAAATTTAGTCCTTAGTTGGGTAGTTAGTAAAATGTATTGTCGATGGTATGCAACAACCATGCAACAGCACAATACAGTTTCGGTTTTAAGATAAATAAAAAATGTAAGTAGAACTTATCATTGCGAAGCTGCTGAGGATGCATTGTTGTGCATTGATTATATACGTAACCTTGTAAAATAAATAATGTAAAATTTGATTGAACTGTCTGAATTCAATCCTAAAACTAATCGAATATCAACGTTATTACAGTTACTCATTGTCAGATTAATAAAAATAAAAATTAAGAAAAGAATAATAAAGAGTCTTCCTTCCACGTTAAGTCAAGTGCTTTTGCTGTCTTGATGAATCCTTTCCTTCATACTTCATTTCAACGCTTGATAAGGCCTCAATGATGACGAGATGAGGTACAAAATTATCCCTTTTGGTTTCATCATGGATTAATAATGACGATGCATAAAAATATGAATATCGAAATAATTGATAACTTCCTTTTGATAACGTATATGTACTTCTGAATACGGATAAATTATTGAAATTCAGTTACTTACTATGCATGACATGGAGAAACGCAATGACATCAGAGCATTATTTTTTAAATCAAAATCAATTTATTAAGTAAGACTGACCTATTTGTTGTTATGTATGACTTTATTTCTTAAAACTCGCAACTATTTACACACTACACACAATGAAATATTACGGCACTGCTTCGTACAATACTTTTAAGGTAGTTCCAGTTCTGCATTTATGGAATTTTTCTTTCAAATTTGACAACGTTTCCAATCAAGGTAATTAAAAACAACTGATAAGTACAATTGACTTGCTCATATCAAGAATTTTATGTCACCCACGAGCCATGGCGTGTTGGATTTCAATGCAAAATAATGAATATAAATGCTTGTAACCTATGCCACATTTATTTACATTGATATATGTTGTATGCTGTGATAATTTAAGTTTGTCAGCTCAGACTGATGACAAGCGTCTGTCTGGTAATACTCTGATAATCTAATCTTCAAGTTACAAAATGAACTTGGCCACCAGTGTCAATGAGAGGATGGCAGGAACGCTGAAGGCTGCTGAAGGCATCGACGCTGGATTTTTTGATGCAGCTAAAATCGTATTTAAAAAAGGGTCAGACATCAACCTTCGTTTTTTTGTAATAATCAAAATTATTAGTGTAATACGTTACCTTTTGTCTCGCTCTTTGAGGATCCTGCGTGCTTGGCGTCGTGGGTGGATTCTGGTTCGGCTGCAGGCTCTGGTTCAGCGGCTGCTTCGGGCTCTGCCTTGGGATCCTCGGCCTTCACGGAGGGGGAGGAGAGGCAGATCAAGGCCACCATCCCCACAACAAGAACAAGACGCATTTTCATCATGATTGTGATCTAGTCGCTTGGTTGACGTTCGTCTCTATGAAATGTGACACAAGAAAAGTTGATTTATGTTGAAATTACTTGCTGGTACACACATGCACTTGTTAGCGCAGTAGCAAGTCCAACTACAAATATAGAGCAGCGACGCAATTATTGCTTCTAACCATTTCTCAACTTTAATAAATTCCACGAAATTTCTAAACACATATTAGAGATTCAAATTATTGAAAACTAGAACAGTCGTGAATGCATTCATTGCTTAAGGTTCAGTCTGAGCATTGCAGATTCAAGTAATTCGAATATAAGTATTCATGTATCTCTAGCATTGAAAGCAAGAGTAAACTTTTATTGCCAACTATTATATTTGCATGAATGTCACAACCGGTAACAAACAGATCAACACTTTTCGTCATAACTATTTACGTTACCACACACCTACTCGACCAACTAAAGTATGTCTAGGAACAAAGTGCGCACTAAGTATGTGAAGAAAGTCTAGTAACAAATCTCAAATGTCACTCCCCCGATAAATTTCATGTTATATGTTACATTTTAACACGGTATCAGGCGGGTTGGATGAAAGACATTCTCAGTTTTTGGACGCAAATTGGTCTGAACTTTACATATTCTTCTTTGTGGCGCAGGAATTGTATGCAAAGCACAAAATAGTCCTTAATACTAGATGATTATCAATAATGTCCAAACATTAAGGACGGTTTTGCAATTTAGGAATATATTTCGTACAGAACAGGACAGTGAACTTGGCATTATGATTGTTGACCGAAAAGCACCCGGAAGTCAAGAAAGGCAAATGTATATTAGCAATGCAATTTCTTATGTTTTTTTTAAATAAGTCTACAACAAAAACCGGACATGACATGACAAGTAGTGAGCATGTATAACATTAATACCTTGAGAGACATGACCTGACTTTCATTAGACAAAAAAAGTATGCAGGAAATCGTGACAAATTTGAATACCACTAGATTTTCCATACATACATACAAGTGCATGTAAATGTATAGCACCAGTAAGTTCTCGATGTTCTCTCCTAACAATTTATCATGTTTTCTCCGTGTTTTCGATTTTCCTATTCCTAACGTAATTATTATTGCAATTTGAAACAATATTGACAACTACAACGTTGAGAGGTATTTTGACTTTGTTGGTCGATACTATTCCAATCCAAGGATTATATGGCAAATAAAATCAATGAGATATGAATAGCTGAAACGTAGCCAAATGTGCTTTAGCTCGTTCGTAGACTATTTACTAATTCAATCATCATTTGAACTGTGTGTTCATGACTTTCTGAATTTTGATTGTCCAAATATAGAAAAACAAATGCTTGCTTTGGTCTGATGAGTGGCTGACTTTTCTGTTGGACTAAAGTTATGACTTTGCAGTTTCTTTAATGTTTGTGGACTACACATTTTAATATTTTAATGCTAATTGAAGTGCTTAATTGCCAAGAAAAAAATCATTTGTTGATACTTACTAAAAATATATGCATACTGTGCAAGCAAAGATTATTTACTCCAAAATTTGAGTGCTTAGTTGGTACTAAATTTCTATTATGTAATCTTATTGCATCAAACTCAATAACACGTACTGTGGATGAAGTTCTAACCCTGCAGACTTATTACACCGCTTTGTAGCATTAATTTCACGACGTCACCGGTCAAAAAAATTTTTTCCTCCAAACTGGTCCAAAATAAAAGTCTAGCATGGGAATAGTATAGAAAAATTATTTTTAGCGTTCTATGACCCCTGGGTCATGAATTAAGGGCCCCTGAAGGGTCAAATAGCGTTCCCTGATAACCCCATGCAAATGGGGTATCAAATTAATCCCCTGGACCAGGGGAACCAGAAAAATATTTTTATAAATTTTTATGACCCTTGAGTCGTGAACTAGGAGCCCTTGAAGGGTTAAATATCATTCCCTCACAACTAAAGGCAAGTGGGGTATCAAATTAATCCCCTGGACAAGGGGAACCCAAAAAATATTTTTCTGGATTTTTTTGACCCTCAGGTCAAGAGTTAAGGGCCCCCGAAGGGTCAAAATAGTAACCATGGTAACCCCATGCAAGTGGGGTATCAAATTAATCCCCTGGCAAAGGGCAAGCATAAAAATATTTTCCTGAATTTTTTTGACCTATCGGGCAACAGTTAAGGGTCCCTGAAGGGTCAACATAGTAACCATGGTAACCAGGCTTCATATCCTGTCTCAGGCAGCATACTTATGTTTGTATAAACTGGTCCCTTTCTCATATACATATCTTTATGCACCATCTTGTTTGGGGAAGGATTGGGTTAATGGTTGGGGTGATGAATATCCCCTAAAAACTGATGCATTATAAATATATGAGGTGATGGGAGACCCCTTATCCTTGCTGGCTTCTCCAGTCGACATTTTGAAATTTAAGTTTTGGAGTTTGTACTTACTGGTATCCGCTCAATTATTAATTTTTAAAATTGAAGATGACGTTGCATAACTTAATTTATGGAACACTGTATGTGTTATATATAGTTCATTGTGTTTGTGGTAAAAGTTGCGCGAATGTCGATAAAATAGAAATAGATAAACAGGTTAAAGTTGTGTGTGATGAGACGGATGACCTGGGTGGATTGGTTATCTGGTTCAAGGAGACATTACCATCCAATTGCAGTGGATTTCTGATATGTAATCAAACGATGTGTATGGAAATTAATGAAACTGTTATGTTCTTCAGTGACACTATCAAAATTGAAGAAGTAGAGTATGAAAATAAAAAGATACGGATATGGGGAAGTGAAAGCTATGTAACTTTTTATTTTAAAAGTTTCGTGGATGCCAGCCGTTATCTACTAAATAACATCACAATTTCAAACGCCAACCACACATTTCCATCCAATAAACTATCCGACTTAACTCAGGAAAAAATTAGTGACACTTATTGTAATATAGCGGCTGAAACGAAGAACTGTACCACCAAGCAAGCAGTAACTAAAGCTATTCAAGGCACTACTCCTCTTCCTTCTGCATGCACAGTTCTAATTCTGTGCAACCAAATATCATGCATCAGGTTCAACTACACAAGTCTCCTGCATTCAGCCTTCTTTGCCAGAAAGCACACGTTTATTCCTACCAACGAAGGTAAATTGCCATCTTGCTTTCATCTTCGTCAAGATGCATTTTTCCATCCTGGATCTCTCCGACGCCTACGTGGTATTATACTTTCCTTGGAGAAAGCTAAAGTTAAAAAGGCGCCAAGCGGATTACCTTTCAATCTCCCTGGATATAGGTAATTGGTTATTTTGGATGAGTTTTTTTATTTTTGAAGTTGCGATTGGAATCTTTATGAAATGATTCTTTATTAACATAATTTTATTATTGGTATTAATTAAGATATTGCGGGCCTGCCACCGATATTGAGAAGCAGGATGATCTCGGTGGCCCAATAAATGCTATTGGTAATTGTTGCCCAATTTATGCTCATGCACTAACCAAGTCAAATTTGTGAAAATTAATTTTATAATTTTTGTGTTGATATTATTCACAGATGCAGCATGCCGCAAACATGACGTCGATTATTTGCTAGGGGTTCTACCATCAGAGGCAGACGAGGCACTTCTAACTACTGTGCAATTACATCGAAAAGATCTGTTCCCACTTTTTGCGGCCGCAATGAGTGCCAAAAAATATTTCGAAAGTCAAATTGGAGGGTCCTATACATCCTTCTTATATTTCTACCCAGCAGGATTTTATCCCAGTTTAACTTTGCATTTTGCACATGAAACGGTGTACGATAAAACTTCAGCAGGAACACTAACAACTGCTCGTGCCATCTGGGAAGGCCAAGCTCAGGAGTCAAAGTGGATAAGTATTCTGCAAAATATTTGGCTAGGGAGCTGCTACACGGTGGATCCAGAAACTAATGTAAATCCACCGCATATCGATGTAAGATTATATTTTTGCACTATTAATGCTAGCTCAGATTCATCGATTTATTGTCTGAGAGCACAGACGCATTTCATACAAGTTTATCACTTTTAGCAAAAACAGTCTGACATGAATTCCCTCGTCATGCCATGCTCAAATGTGGATGAAATGGACACCAATGCAGACGCACTTGTGAGAAATATTGCAACATATTTATAAATAGCAGCGACCGCGGATGTTGTGGGGGACATCGTGAAATTGTTATTGTAGTAACAAGCTCATGTACGTTTTTGTTCTGATCAATACAGGAGGATGGTGATGGAGATGATGAACGTGGGCACTGTGGACAACGTGAAGAGTTAGGGGAAGGGTCAGCTCCTGGCGGTTAATCACCAATGGACACTTCAAATACAGAGTATGCATCCAAGAGTACAGAAGGTGAAGATACATGTGTGGGAACAGACATTTACCCAACGGCCCCTTACAAAGGGGGATGTAGGATGATTTTGAACGAATTTGCAACCAAGAATGATGATAACCAGATTTCGTTTATTGAACATGTTCGTATTTGCCCAAAAGGCGCTCGTCCTCCAAAAACTAATTCACTTAACGGATTCGTTGAAATAATCCTTGTGGGCGGGATGACTATCCACCAAGTAATGTACGCATCTTTCCAGAACAAGATCTTCTCAATCATACAAGAGAAACAAACTACGCAACGCAAAATAAAAAATTTCTACTTTGTCCTCGGATCGAAACAAGTTGCACCAGATATGTTGTTTTCTGACAGCCAGATTACTAGTGACCATCTCGAAGGAATCTTACCTGCCGAGTCATTGACGTACTGCATAATTTTACTTCACTTCGGACACAATCAAGGGCAATTTCATCAAGCAGTTCAATCTTTTTCACTAATCCAAAATGTTCCACCCGGCAGTGACACGGTAGGCTATCTCCCAACCCCCATAAACGACGAAAAGATGAACCTTATAAACGAGTTCATTCAAGATGTCCTAATTGTTGGTCCTCCTTGTCCGGATTCTGAGTGTGGATATTTCTATTCCCTTCTCAGAGCTAAAGAACAGGTATTGGGGGAAGGTGAAATGCGAATTCCT